AAATAAATGATATAGATTATAACCCATTGATTAATATAAGAATCCATGGGTCCATACTGATATAAATAAATAGGAGAGAAGGGAAAGTTCTTTCTTAGAGTAGAATGCCAAGTGATTAGTGTAGAAGTAATGAATAATAGAATTAGAAGTTAAAAATCACTTTGCACCTAAAAATTTCTAGAATTAGAAATTTAAAAATCACTTAATGTATAGCAGGGCATTTATAGTTAACAATACTGTATTGTATATTTGAAAGCCGTTTAGGGTGTACATCTTAAAAGTTCTCATCACAAGAAAAATGTGTAAATGTGTGATGAATGTTAATTAGACTTATTGTGGTGATCATTTTGCAATATACACAAATACTAAATCATTATGTTGTATACCTGAAACTAATATGTCAATTATTTCTCAATAAAAAAATCATTTTTTTGGCAACTATCACAGTAATAATTCATTCAAGAGACATAGATGTTAAAACTAGTAGGTGAAAGCTAAATGATAAATATTTACATAGTCCCAAAGTAGCCTCCCCACCTTTTTTTTTTTACAGAAGGAGGGAGAGAGAGAATTGGGGGAGGGGAAAGGGAGAGGGAGAGAGAGAATCTCTGCCCAGTGCAGAGCCTGACGTGGGGCTCCATCTCACAACCCTGAGAATGTCATGACCTTAGCCGAAATCAAGAGTGGGACACTTAACCGACTGAGCCACTCCTCCTCCTCACTTCTTAATTACAAAGGGGAAAATCGTAACTTTGCACATACTAACAAAATCAAGTGATTAAATTACATTAATGGTACCAATAAACATCATGTACCTTTTGATGCAATTTACTGAAAACAATGTAACATCATTTCTGTGGTGTCCTGCAAGAAACATATCCTATCTGTGAGAATAAATTAAGCAAAAATTAAGGAACAGCCTATAAGTTGACTGGACTCTTCAAAAATGCCAAGATCATGAAAGTCAAAGATGTAATGACCAGCTCTTCCAGCATAAAGGAGAGTAAATAGATTTGACAATTATTGGTAGTGTGATCCTGGAATGGATCCTTGACTAGGGAAAAAATCTTATTTTTTTTTAATTTTTAAATTATTTATTTATTTATTTGACAGAGAGAGACACAGCGAGAGAGGGAACACAAGCAGGTGGGGAGTGGGAGAGGGAGAAGCAGACTCCCCGCGGAGCAGGGAGCCCGATGTGGAGCTCGATCCCAAGACCCTGGGATCATGACCTGAGCCGAAGGCAGAGCTTAACGACTGAGCCACCCAGGCGCCCTGGAAAAAAATTCTGATAAAGGACATTTGGCAAAATTCGAGTACATTCTGTAGATTAGGTACTAATGTACCAATATGAATTTTGTTTTTGATAATTGTCTTTTTTTAATTTATTTATTTGAGAGAGTGAGCGAGAGAGAACACGAGCCAAGGGGGTGAGGGGGAGAAGAGCAGAGGGAGGAGGAGAAGCAGACTCCCCCCTGAGCAGGGAGCCCTACATGGGGCTCGATTGGAGCTCTGGGATCATGACCTGAGCCGAAGGCAGATGCTTAACTTACTGAGCCACCCAGGTGCCCCTGTTTTTGATAACTGTCTTATGGTTGTCTAAGAGATTGTCATTGTTTTTAGGAAATATAGACTGAAATATTTAGAGGTAAAGCGGTATCACATCTGCAACTTACAAGTGAGTTAAGATAGATTTAAAAAAAGGTTAAAAAGAGAGGGGAAAAATGATAAATATAGTAAAATATTAGCTAGGGAATTTGTGTGAAGGGGGTTATTTGTATTAGTAACATTGAAAGCGAGGTAGAATAACGAAGAGATTAAAATAATTGGGAAAAGATTGAGTTAATCAAACACAGAGTCAAATATAAGACAATAAAGATAACTGATATCCCTAAATGGAACTGGAAACTGATAACAATTTACGACAAAAAGTTGGAATGAGAGGAAGTTACATGAAGGCAGGTTTTGGCCAATATAAGATAGAACTTCCTGGCAAGTAGCATTGCTCAACCATGAGATGCTTTGAAATAATTAGCAATTTGGAATACTCCCTGGAAGTATTCAGGACTAGGTAAGCCATCTACCAAAAATGCCAAGGTTGGTATTCCTTATTGATTGAGAGCTTGAACTGTATATCTAAAGCCTTTTCTGACTCTAGGATTCTTGGAATTTTTAACTGGAATAATATCTACCTCAGTGGTGTTAGTTCTGAAGATAAGCATGTCCTTAGGAATTCAGAAGAAAACTGTAGAGTGAGGTAAAAAATGTTGAGTGAAAAGTTTACTGCAAATTTACTGATCACTCTTGTCTCTTGAACATGTTGTAGGTTGTGCTTAGGCAGTCATTTTGTTTGAACTTAGTATGTCTTTTCTGTCATTTCTAAAGTCACTATCAGGGATACCTGGGTGGCTCAGTTGTTTAAGCATCTGCCTTTAGCTCAGGTCATGATCCCAGGGTCCTGGGATCGAGCCCCGCATCAGGCTCCTTGCTCAGCGGGAGGCCTGCTTCTCCCTCTCCCACTCACCCTGCTTGTGTTCCCTCTCTCGCTGTCGCTCTCTCTCTCTCTGGCAAAAAAATAAAATCTTAAAAAAAATAAAGTCACTATTAAATAGTATTATACTATGAATAATACTTAACTAGTGGTGACTTTTAAAGTAGTACATCTCAAATTTTAATGTACATACAAATAACTTGGGGATCTTTTAAAGATTCAGGTTTGGATTCTGATTTTGATTCAGTAGTCAAGCCCATTAAACTTCTAGAATAAAATATAGATGAAAATCATAGTGATGCTGGCAAAGATTCCTTGAAAACTTCACAAAATGCAGGAAAGTATAAAAGAAGCAATAAATTGGGCTTCTTTTAATAAGAAACAATCCAGTAAAAATATGGGCCAATATTTGAAGAGACACTTCACCATGAAGATACGTGGCTGACAAATAAGCACATGACAAAATGCTTAACGTTAGGGAAGTGCAAATTAATATCACAACGGGATAGAACCACACCCCCTTAGGATGGCTAAAAATTAAAATGACTGACCATACCACATGTGGGTGAGGATGTGGAGCAACTGGAAATCTCATACATTGCAGGTAGGAACATATGGTACCATCACTTTAGAAAACATTATCTAAATTTCATAAAAGTCAAATATGCACCTACCCTGTATGAACTAGCCAGTCCAATCCTAGGTATTTACCCAAGAGAAATGAAAGCATATGTTCATACAAACACTTGTACATGAATGCTGATGACTTTATTTGTAAGGCAAAAACTAAAGAATCTAAATGTCCATCAACAGGTGAATGGATAAACAAACTCAGTATATTCATATAATGAACACTAGTCTGCAAAAAGGAATGAGCTACTGATATTCAATGCAATATGGACCTCAAAATAATCTTGGATCTCAAAATATTCTGAAAGAAGCCATACAAGCGTACATACTATTCTACTAATTTGTAATAACAGAAAGGAGATCAGTGTGTGCCTGGGGATAGATGGGCAAGTGTCAGGGGAAAGAGACAAGATTGCAAAGGGCCACAAGGAAACTTTTAGTGGTGATGGATATATTCATCAGTTTGATTGTGATTTTATAGCTGTATATGGATGTCAAAACTTATGAAAAATTTATATACGTATAGTTTATGTCAATACACTATAAAAGGTTCAGATTCTGATGCAGGAGGTTTGGGTGGGGCCAAGAGTCTGTTTTTTTTTTTTTTTTTAAAGATTTTATTTATTTAATTGACAGAGAGAGAGAGAGACAGTGAGAGAGGGAACACAAGCAGGGGGAGTGGGAGAGGGAGAAGCAGGCTTCCCGCTGAGCAGGGAGCCTGATGTGGGGCTCGATCCCAGGACCCTGGGATCATGACCTGAGCCGAAGGCAGTGGCTTAATCAACTGAGCCACCCAGGCGCCCCAAGAGTCTGTGTTTTTAACTAAAACATGAACTCCCTGGTGATGCTAATGCTGCTGTTTCCATAGCACACTTTGAGGGGCCAAGTTCTGAGTTGTCTTTGTCATAAACAGATGTCATTTGAGTGCACAATAGATACATATGGCTGGTACCATACTGGATAGTGCAGATAAAATATTTCCATCACTGAAGAAAGTTCTGTTGGATGTTAATGGCCAAGATTCTTGAGTACATTGTCAACTATTAATCTTGTCCTATTATCTCCTAACTATAACCTGTTTTTTGTCCATCCCACCCTCTCAGGCTGCATGCTGTCCTTTCATAAAGCTTTGGTGGAATTCCATTTTGGGTTTTTATATTGTTTCATTTTATCATGTTCTTCATTTTGACTTGCATGAGTTGTAATAACTTTGAATAGAAAGTTCAACTAGGGGCAGGTATCAGCTGAATGTGAGGAGCTTCCTAACAATTTAGACCAAATAATCTTATGTTCTAACATGACTTCCTCACCATCCAGAAAATTCCTATTTTAGAGCTCCTGTGGCTGGCTGTACAGTCAGGATTGTGTACTATTACAAAGTAAGTTCCTGTGTGACTTCTACCCCTACAAAGAAGTGTGACCAGAGGTAAATCAGAACATTTCTAGAAATGAATTCTCATCTCTAAAATGAGGGGATTGAACTATTTTATTATTTCTTCTGATTTTCACATTCCATATTCTTCTGCTCATTTCAGAGTAATGGTGGCATGAAGCCAGAAAGAAATTTAGCTTCTTGGCTCTGAATAAGAAATGAGTTGGACTACATTTTTTAAAGATCCCCAACCTTTGTATAGCTTATACCAGGGATTGGCAAACTTTGTGTAAAGAGCCAGATAGTACACATTTTTGGCTCTGCAGCCACATGGTCTCTGTCGCATATAATAAACATTGCCACTATAGTGTGAAAGCAGTCATAGATGATATATCAATGATTGGAAGTGACTGCATTTGGCCCACAGTTTATTGATTCCTGGTTTAGATCAAAATAACTATCTTCTAACCATCTGAAGTTAGGTTGAGAAATCAAGGGAAAACACACTTTGTTGATATAATTTTATGAACTCTGGATACATAATATAACTAGACTTTCACATCTGAAGATAACAAAAAAAAGTTATCATAATTTCAGGTTATACATACTTTAATGAACTAGATTTATAAAAGATATAAAAATATTTCACAGGCTTGGGAAGATATGGTCATAAGACTTCATTGTAAGGAGGGGTATAAGATATGTTAGAGATTTTTCAAACCTACAGAGGACATTTAACAATTTGCACTGTTAATAAAGTTCTTGCTTAATCAATATTTTATCTTCATTCATCAGAAGGCTTAATTAGAGCAGCTTTCTTCTTATACTTGTCTCCAATCTCTCTAATATTTTCCAAGAGATCTTCAGACACGTATTCTTCATATTCTCTATCAACTTTAGCAATCTGCTCTTCAAGATATTTCTAGTGAAAACAATGAGCAATTGTTAATGAAAAAACATTAATTTCTTTTAAAAAGTTTAATTGTGAAATATACAAACAAGTGGTAACATTTATAAGTACAGGGAATTTAAGGGATACTCTTAAATCCCTTTTTGTGCCCTTTCCTAATCATATCCCCATTTTTCTTCTCAGAGCTAACCACTCTCCTCAACGATGTTTTGCTTTTCTTTATGCTTTTACCCCCCCACCCCACACTGATATGTATGTATGTATCTCTAAACAATATAGTTTAGTGGTACCTGGTTTTAACATTCATATTTACTGAATGATATTAAATATAATACTCTATGACTTTTTTCCACTCAGTATTTTGATTCATTGATGTTAATGCAGATAGTTGGTTTATTCATGTACTGCCAAATAGTTTCCTATTGCATGAATATATCAATATTTATTTATCCATTTTATTATTAATGAATTTTAGTTTATTTCCAGGTGTGGTAGGCTGAATAGCAGCCTCCTCAAAGATGTCCATGGCCTAATCCCCAGAACCTGTGAATACATTATCTTACAGGGCAAAGGAACTTGACAGATGTGATTAAGGAGTTTGAGAAAAGGAGATCATTCTGCATTGTCTTGGTGGGTCCAATGTAATCACAAGGGTCCTGGTAAGAGGGAATCAGCAATGTGAGTCAGAGAGAGAAAATGTAAGGACAGAAGAGAGGTCAGAGGGGATAGAAGATGCTGTGCTGTTGGCTTTGAAGATGAAGAGGCTGCAAACCAAGGCGGGTAGGCGGTTCTATAAAAGGGAAAAGACAAAGAAATTCCATCCTAGAGTCTCTAGAAAGATTGTAGTCTGGGAGGCCCATTTTACACTCCTGACCTCCAGATATATAAGGAAATAAATGTGTTGCTTTAAGCCATCAAGTTGGTGGTAATTTGTTATAGCAGTAACAGGAAATTAATATACTGGGTTATGTTTTTTACTATTTCAATTATACTGTAACAAATTTCAACATACTAGATGGCTTAAGGCAACAGAAATTTATTTTCTCACAGTTTTAGAGGCTTGAAGTCCAAAATCAAGATACTGACAGGGCCACTTTCTCTGAAGGCTCTAGGGAAGAATCCTTCCTTACCTCTTACCAGCTTTTAGCAGTTCGAGGGCAATCCTAGCTGACAGCTGTGTCACTCTAATTTCTGCCTCCATCTTCACACGGACTCTTTTTTTTTTAAAGATTTTATTTATTTATTTGAGAGAGAGAGAATGAGAGACAGAGAGCACGAGAGGGAAGAGGGTCAGAGGGAGAAGCAGACCCCCCCACTGAGCAGGGAGCCCGATGTGGGACTTGATCCCGGGACTCCAGGATCATGACCTGAGCTGAAGGCAGTTGCTCAACCAACTGAGCCACCCAGGCGCCCCTTCACATGGACTCTTAATAAGGATACCGGTCCCTAGATTGAGGACCCACCTTAATCTAGTATGACCTCATCTTAGCTAATGACATCCACAAAGACCTTATTTTCAAATAAGGTCACATGATGAGATTCTGGATACACATGAATTTTGAGAGGATACTATTCAACCTAGTACATTACTCCAGCACACAGTGTAAACATTTAATTAAATACCTAGAATGGAATTGCACCATTTTATTAGGGATTGCCAAATTGTTTTCTAAAATTGTTAACATCAATTTACAACCCCTGCAGTATAAATGAAAACTTGCATTTCTCCACGTTCTTGCTGGCATTTTGTATTCTCAAACTTTAATTTTTTTGCCAATTTCCTGAGGGTGGGAAGTGGTAGATCTTTTCCTGTTTATTGGCCACCTTAGCTTTCTGTGAAATTCCAATTCAAGTCTTTTGCCCACCTTCTGTACTTATTTTCCAGAGGTCATTATATATCTGCATGCTATCAGTTGTTTTAAAAAATATCATCTACTGTTTTGTGGCTTGTCTTTCCACTTTTTTTTTTAAGATTTCATTTATTTATTTTGAGAGAAAGCGATATGGGGGAGGGGCAGAGGGAGAGGGAGAAGCAGACTCCCCGATAAGCAGGGAGCTGGATGCGGGGCTGATCACAGGACCCTGGGATCACAACCTGAGCCGAAGGTAGAAGCTTAACCAACTGAACCACCCAGGTGCCCCTCTGTCTTTTGATGTAGAGATCTTAATTTTAACAAAGCTGAATTTATAATTTCTTTTGTGGTTTTAACTTGTGTCTAATTTAAGAACTCCTTTACAACTCCTGAGGTGTAAAGACAGTGTCTATAATTTTTCTAAAAGTTAAAAATTTAGTCTCACATTGGGGTGCCTGGGTGGCTTGGTCGGTTAAGTGTCTGACTCTTGATTTCAGCTCAGGTCATGACCTCAGGGTTGTGGGATCGAACCCCACATCGGACTCTGTACTGGGAGTGGAGCCTGCTTAAAATTCTCTCTCCCTATTCCCCTGCCCCTCTCCCCAGCCCTCATTCTCTAAAAAAAAAAAATTTAGCCTCACATTAATTTCTTAATCCATCTTGAAGTGATTTTTGTCGAGGTAGGAATCCCAACTCCATTAATTGAACAATTCATTTTACCCCACTAGTCTGCAACACAACCTCTCTTATAAATTAGTTTCCTGTCTATGCTCATCCATCTTTTTCTGGACTCTGAATCAGAGCTTGGTTTATATGCATCAGTACTACAATGGGTTCGTTATTGCAGCTTTTTAATAATTTCTTAACATCTAAACAGACAAAAAAGATTTTGTGCCCTTCAAGGAGGTAGGAGTCTGGAACAGGAGTCAGCCACCTTTTCCTGTAAAGGGCCAAATAACAAATATTTTAGGTTTTGTAAGCCAAATGGCCTTTGTTGCAACTGCTCAACCCTGCCAGTGTAGTGGGAATGCAACCATAAAGAGTATGGAAGTGAATGAAGTATCTGTGTTCCAATAAAACTTTATTTACAAAAGCAGCCCGTGGGCACAATTTGGTCTTTGGGCTGTAGTTTGCTGTCTCCTAGTCTAGACTATCAAGCCACATACAGGACCTGCATGGGGCTCCAACCAGGAACTGCTCAAAGAAAAGTTTTAGCTCAGAGGAAAAATATCCCATCTAAAGATACCATTAGATCCACAGTCATCTGTTTATTCTAGTCTAATTTTATCACTTGTAAAATTTCCCCACATCAGGTTTTAAAGATGATTGGTTGACTTAGGGACTCCTTCCATAGTTTACTGGCTAATTGTGAATTTTACATAGTGCAAAGTAAGTGCTCTGTAAATGCAGTCTGATCTTGAACAACAATGAACTAAATAGAAAGCAAAAGTAATAATCATTAGGGTTTCAAATCTAACTTCATGTTAACGGATTAAAACTTTAACAGTTGTGGTTACCTTTCACATAAATCCCTCGTGATAAATCACTATTGGATTAACACTGAGGTCAAACTAATTGTTACAGATAATAGATAGAGATGCAAAGGATGTTGGCAATGATTTAGTATAACCCTCTCATTACACAGATGAAGAAAGTGAAGACCAAAAGAAGCAAAATGATACATATAAACAGACTTTCTCAATTTGAGCCAACCATCATAGATTGTGAATGAATTTTCCTCTTATGCATTTATTATACGTCATCCCTGAGAGAACAAGAAAGTAATTACTCATATAATTATCTGGTCTGTCATTCAAATTAACAATACTGGTTGAAAAAGAATCTATGAAAGGTTATAGAGCCACTAAGTGGGGAGAATCCAGGTTTTCTGATGTAGGATCCAGCATATTTTCTTAGTTCTTTTCACCAAGCAGTGAAGAACACTGGCAAACAAGAAAATGCAGTTCACTATCTTTCAGGAGAAAGGAGGGGAGGGGAAGTAGGATATCACACGCTCTGTTTTCAATAAATGGAAGCCTAACAAATGAGTTTTTTTTCCTCTTAAACCATTCACAATTGGAAATATAAAATTATCACCTAATAGACTACCCAGGAATTTTATTTTATTTTTTTAAAGATTTTATTTATTTATTTGACAGAGAGAGACACAGCGAGAGAGAGAGATCACAAGCAGGGGGAGAGGGAGAAGCGGACTTCCCACGGAGCAGGGAGCCCAATGCGGGGCTCGATCCCAGGACCATGACCTGATCATGACCTGAGCCAAAGGCAAGACGCTTTAACGACTGAGCCACCCAGGCGCCACTATCCAGGAATTTTAAAGTTTAGCAATTTATCTTGGCTTCTGGGCTCCCTACAGCAGGTTGGAAGAATAGTATTGTTGAACTTTTAAGCTATGCTTCATGTTTCATTTAAGTACTTTATTCTATATTTTATCAGTATTTTACATGAAATTAACGGAAAGGAAAAATATGTCTTAACACATGCTCTTTCATCTTAATCTTAATTAAATCTTAAATGTGTTGATATGTTTTCAGTACGTAGAATGTGGCCTGGCACATCATTATATACTACTGATATAATAAATATCATTATACGTTGTTTATGTGAACAAAACAGATTGCTTTATGAAATGCAGATGCTCCTTTCACACCACTAAAAAGGACTCTTCTGGTAACTTTTTACTATAACATATTTTCCACAGATATAAAATTTATCATTTAATTTCTGTAGAAACAAAACAGAAATATAGTTTTAAAAAGCTTTATTAGAATGTAGGAAAGACTTCATACACTTACCTCCACAGACCCTACATGTGTAGCAACCATCTCTAAAAGACGCTGCAAGTTATTTCCCACTTTTCGTCGTTCTTCAGTTGTGGTTTGCACAACTAGCTGGTATCTGTAGAATAAAAACTCTTGTTTGAGTTATCTATGAAAAAACCTAATGCATCAGTTCTAGTTAGCTCACTTCTCCTTTTCATATTCAATAAAACCAGACTGTGCTTGGTATTTGTGCTGTTTGCTTCTCAACCATTAAAACAGAAAAACATTTCAAAGATCTTTTGCAAGCAACAGAACAAAACAGCACCAAAACCTTGTGCTTTAACATATAAAACTTGGGAGCAAATGGTCTTGATTGAGTCTCCAAAAGGACTGTAAACTTACATGCTTTCAGGGAGAAGGCATTCAATACATTTGAATAGGGGAGTGGGAGTCTCACTTTTAGGCATGCAAATTCAAATTAAAAACAGACTGCAGCCAAAAAAAAAAAAAATGCTTCGCTGAGTTTTTTATCCCTAAACTACAAATAAGCAAATGAAGAGGTGTGAATTTTCTTAAGGGGTGTACTTCTAACCTCGAAGTCAGATTTTTTTTAGTTGAGGGCCACTTAATTAAGACTTCTAAAAAAAGAGCCTATGGATTAACTATTCAGTATATTGACTTTCTATAGGTTTCATGAGAAAATTATATACACAAAGGCAGACTACTCTTTAAAAAAGGGACGTCACTATTTAGTTACTGTTAATACACAATGTGGCTAAAACTCTTCCAATATAAGTTGTAAAATAATAAGGGAAAGCAAGAGGGAAAACTTGACAATGAAGAACTAAGAAATGTAACATGTACAGTTAGTTCTGCTGTTCGTTTGGAAATACGTATTTGTTCCAGTTGGGTTGATATATTATGCAGCAATTTGACCATAATGCAAAAATTTGTATCTGTTTATGCCATCTCTTTCCTTTTTTTAAAAGTTTATTTATTTATTTTTTTAGTAATCTCTACACCCAATGTGGGGCTGGAACTCACAATCCTGAGATCAAGAGTTGCATGCTATTAAAAAAAGAAAAAAGTTGCATGTTTTTCCAACTGAGTCAACAGGTGTCCTTATGCCATTTTCTTCTTGAGAAACACTAGGTGATGCAGAAAACTGCACTCAGCTGAATCCAGATGCAAAGGAATACACAAAACATATAAACACACACCTCAAATGTGTACCAGCTCCCTCAGTTCATTGCATTATGTGATGAGTCACATGCATCCACATCTGGTATTAAAACTTTCCATCTGATTTCAGATAATCCTCCTTCCACCTCATCTCAATGATTTACAAGCTGCAACCCTTTGAATGCCCCTTTCCTCAGGCAAACTTCAGGTCTCTTTAAGATAAAGTGTCATATTTATCATAGTAATTATGTATTTCTCAACCATTTAACATGTGTACAATTGTGCTAACATTTTAGTTAGGTTCCCATCTTTTGTTTATGTGTGTCACTGACAGAGATCTTAAGTGTTGTGCCCAATCCCAATTTTACTATAAGTCCTGATTTTTTACTGCATGATTTTGCAGTGTGGTGATTATTATGAGGGCACATACAGTGTTACAGTAGGATGACCATATAATTTATAGTATATAGTTTACTATATAATTTCTAGAAAGTATAAATATCTTAAAAATAGTAACAAACAGCCAAAGTATTTCAATTGAAAATTTTATGCTATTTTCAGGGTTTAAAAGCCGCTCATGAATTAAATGTAAAAATTAATGATTTCTTAGGGGGCAAGAGCTATAATAGAAGCAGAATATGTTTAGGAACAGTATTTCAAGTTACAGGCTCTTTTTGTTACTTCTTCTTCCCCAAATAGCTCTATAATATAAATTAAAGCTAATAAACATAGATCTAGTTTTACAGAAATGTTAAATAATTAATCTGAAAATAAACATAAATCTTGGTTACATGAACTTACTCTCGCTGAATAGCGTCTAATTCATTCATAGCTTCACTGAGGCCCTCGTTAACAGCACTCTCCAGCAGATGTTTGTGTTTCTCCAAGGACTCTAGCTCACTGGCACATTTTTTGTCCTCTTCTTCAGCTTCCTATCAAGAAGAGGGCATGGTTATGGTTTTTGAAGTTTATGTTCTGTATATTCCATATACTACACTACTCCATATACTAAATATACTCCACAACCCATATATATATAACACATTAAAAAAAAAATCAGGTTGCATCATCATTTGTATTCTCAGAATGTGTACTGTTTTACATGTAAGAGATTTTAAAATGCTCCTTTGGGAATTTTATACTGTAAACCTAAATATGACCTTCTCAATAGGCCTATATAGAATTCATTCAGCAGTATTTTCAAGTATGTACTATAGGAAACCTTAGGATACTGATTTAAATATTTCCTATGATCATCAAGAGGCCTTTTATATATGCAAAAATGTGGGTAACTTTCACACTACCTTTATTTCACATATGTATTCATTATGCACAGGCAAAGGAGCCCAAAGTCATCAACTCCTAGGTTTCTTAAGATGAAATATGAAAGCCTTTCACTGAAGTGCTTTAAAAGGAAAAATGCAAGTACTGTCATGGACAACACATGAAAGAACAAAAATGATTACCAAATGCCTCATACTTCACATGTAGATCATATTACTGTGGTGTATTTTCTAAAATTTTCTCACTGCTTAACAAAATGTACAGGCCCTAAATACACTACAAGGCCAAGAAAAAGTTTTCAATTCCTAATACTTTGTTGGTGTAACTAAGTAAAAAATATTATGACTAAAATTTTCACCTAAGTTATATAAGTGGTAATGAATAGTCATCTGAGTGCTTCCCTAAGTAAAATGCTGGCCACAGGTGGATGGATTAGAGGTGGTGGGAAATGAATCCTATTATTTACCCACATTCCATATTTCATATAAAGGATCTTTGGAATTTGGCCAAGATAGTCAGTTTACAATTAATCTTTATAGGCAATCATATAACGAAGCCTTATTTGAGGTTTATGCTTTACGAGTGCTTAACACTAAATTTCTATAAAAGGTAGAAGAGATTACATTTAAAACATGTTTTGGTCTTACAAGGATACAGAATCTCATATTCAAGTCTAAAATATTAATGGAACAGTAAACGTGTTCTAGTGTGAAACAGCCCAATTCCAGGAAAAAAATCCTGGAAAAAAAACTCCTTCTAATAAACTTCAGAAGATTAGACTAAACTTAAACACAAGTTATAGGATATAGCTTAAAGATTTAGTTAGATGTCAGAACAGGTCAAAGTTCATGTACACAAACTGTGGCAAAGTTCTTACCTTAACTTTTTGTTGGTAAAGATCATCCAGCTTTTGAACTTCTTCTTTCAGAGTTCTTACACCTCTCCTGCTTTCTGTTATCATTGTATTTAACTTGGAGAATAAAACTTTGGTTGAGAAATCATAACCATACATCAAAAACATTTTAGTTATAAAACTTTCATATTACTGACTGACCATGTTATTTCCAAAAGAATCCTTTTGGATTCTCACCTATCATTTGTTCCCAGAATTTATTATTCCCCAGAGAGGAGTTAAATAAAAACAAACACACAAAAAACCTATTATTTTTTAAATGTACAATACTTAAATGCAGAGTGGCATTTGATAGGAATCAAAAATCTGGCTTAATTCTCAGTAAAAGAAGGATCGAGTAACTTTTCCATTAGTTGCTGTGGGAGTATTTTTAAGCTCTCATATATATTACATAAATATTACATGTATTATATACAGTCTTAACATTTTTATATTAATTTATTAATACATATAAGTTGTTTTTGCCCTCTAGTTTTGAAGTCTAGCTTTACTTAGATTTGATCTATTTTATTAGTTATCTAGCTCTCCATTTGTTTGTTTACTTTCTAAGATGTTAAAGAGAAGTTTTCATATTGATTTTATTGGATGTTTGCTAACTGGTTATTAGTCAATGCATTCTTCCAAAGAGTAATAACCACATTTAATCTTATTAAAGTCTGAGCTTTAAGATCTGTTGAAACCAAAACTAAAGAAAAAAAGTGTTTCCAAAGTTCATTTCCTGCCAACAAGTGCTAATACAGCCAATACCAGTTGATACCAGTAATTAATATGGAATGTTTTCCAGCTAGACCAAGAAGATATTTGCTGTAGGAAATAGAAAATAGCAAAAGGTATATATAAGCTGGATCTTTCTTTAAAAGGATGATTCAACACATATATGAAGTTGCAAAAAAATTACATATACATATTTTTGAGAAAAATTTAGTGAAGCAATTGTTATTTGGTATATGATAGGATGGTAAAATGACTATATATTTATTAGATAAACTTGCATATACTTCTCATTCAATTATCAAAAGTCTCTTTGTAAGGGACATTCCTTTCCTATTTTACAAATGAGAAGAGTTGGCTAGAATGAATGCTATTCACTTAGGATCACGCAGCAAGCATATGCCCAGAACTCCAACCTAGATGTTCTAACTCCAAGGACTCTTTTTCTACACCACCTGACTTTCAAGTTATTTAAAGACTAGAGGGGCGCCTGGGTGGCTCAGTTGGTTAAGCATCTGACTCTTGATTTCAGCTCAGGTCATGATCCCAGGGTCGTGGGATTGAGTCCTGTGTTGGGCATGGAACCTGCCTAAGATTCTCTTTCTCCTCTCCCTCTAGAGTTACGAAAGCTATTCTTTAGCAGGAAACATTTTTCTCTACCCTTAAGGTTCTTTTGGCTGGTCTAAGAATTAAAGTGACATGAGACTGATTAACAGGAGAAAATCAAATTTAATTTTGTATGTATGGGGAATCCACAAAGACATGAGATTCTAAAGACAAGCAAAATGAAGTATATTTGTCATCCTGAACTAAAGATAAGGGGGTAGGGGTCTGGGATTTCAAGAAAAGGAAAACAATTCATAGGAAGATGGAAGAGTAAATGTTTGGTAAACAAATGTTTGCTGGGCCACACAGACACAAATGGGACATAGAGAGGAGTTTTAAGAAAGAGACTGCTAAAGTTCCTCCCTGTCTACCATCCCTAGTTTATATTATACTGTAGTTAGCTATGGTGATAGCTCCCTTCTGGGAGGAGGTCCTTTAAATTCTTTTAGGCAGTTAGGGGTTAGGTGGAGATCAATGTTTCTTCCTGAGTTTTTTGGGTCTTGAATATTTTCAGTTCTAAATAAGCTGCATGCCAAAGTGGCACATCTTGGGGTGATTCGCCCTTGACCCCTACACTATAAACTTCCAGTCTAAAGATATGTGACTTCTGAAGTAAGTGCTAAGTTAAACAAGTTGTTTCATTAAATTTACTTGCAGTAAGACCACTGGATACCCAAATAATCAGAACTTCCACTAGGAAGTCACATTTGCTCAAAATCATGTTTACTTAATCTCTGAGCAGCTTCTAACTTTCATGTGAGCTTTACTAAAGTTTCACCAATTAAACATTCCCCCCTCCCCGACCCCATTACAAAAATATACATTTCCATTGTGATAAACATGGGAAAAATTAAGGAAAATAACAATTACTAGTAATTCTATAATCCCAAAGAACTGCTATTAATATTTGGTATACTTCCTCCAGTATTTCTTTCATTCATTCAATAAACAACTGTCCAGCAGCTTATAAGCAAAGAAGATATCATTAGTTACTGTAGTTAATTTTTTTTCTTCTGTCATTAAGAAGACAGAAGCCGCTAGATTGGATTTCCATCACTTCCTGCCTCCCATCAACCAAAATATTTGTATGAGACTTTTTCTTTCTTCCTTCCAGTCAGTTTCAGGATGCAGGATACCCATTTTCCTCATGAGGAGAAACAACCACTTCAGCTCTTCTCTAGACCCCAAGCCTTGGTATTTCTTCATGAACCACATTCAAATCCATCAATCCCTTTCCCTCCTAATTTTTAAAACTTTACCCTCTTTCCCTTGAACTCTCACTTTCTCATCTTTAAACCCAAACAAGCCCCTCCCCCAGCCCTCCAAAAATGAAAATCTTTCCCATACACCACTAACTACTGTTCCATCTTTTCTCCTTAAGACTCAAACTTTTGTGATGGTCTAATCTATAGCATTCCCTGGAAAGTAGACTATTCATACTATAGTATCTTCTGCTACTACCAAACTTTAATCCACAGCAATATGCTTTCTGGCTCCTCTGCTTCATGAAGTTGCTTTTGCAATGGTCACCATTAACATCTTAATTGCTAAAGTCAATGAACACCTTTCAGACTTAACCTTATTTGATATCTGAGTAGCATATATAGTTAATCACTCCCTTCTGAAATCCCCTTCCTTGTTTTCTATGACCATGGAAGCTCCTAGTTTTTTCTTTAAGTCTTCGGAGATCCTTCTAATTCTTCCTTATAGGTTTCTCTTTCTCTGCTTGTACTTTGGATGTGGATGTTCTCCCAGGATTCTGATCTTGGCTGTATTCTCATCTGCTCACTTGGGAGAGCTCGCTCTTTCATTTTCACACCTGGGAAATCTCCTGGCTTTAATTAACTGCATGCTAAGAAATACCTATTTATATCTATGTACACACTCCAACTGCCTACAGGACATTCTCCACTCTGATATTCTAGAGATCTGAATCTCAGCATATCCCAGCCTGAAATTCTTTCTTCTACACCCTTCTCTTGTATTCTTTATCAAGGCTCTAGAACATCACCACCAAAAGATTCTCTCCTTGACCAAACTATTCACGTCTTCTGAACTCTCTTCTCAAAGAGGCTGACTTTTTGGCTTCTGTGTTTGTCTTTGTATTGTCCAGTTTTAGTAAGAATCATGCTTAAGACAGTTTAATCAGAATCCCTAACCTCAATATCTACTCAAGTCCCTCATCCTCCAACATCCTCCAGCTGATATCTGATCACCTTGGCCTGCTTTCAGCAAGAACACTATTAGGTTGGTTTAGATAATATTGTCCCTTACCCCTAGAGTTTCTTCTCAGTAATTCTTTATCCACTGATCTGTACCCTACTCTCCTTGGTTACAAATTCCCCTTTTTTGTTGTTGTTGTATTTGGAGTTGAGCCCAATCTCTCACCTACTATAAAACCTCTTTGTAATAGTCCCCCTTGAAAGACTTCCTTTAACAAGTGTCATGAATAATTTTTCTTTTTCTTTAACATCATATACCAAAGCTAGACACCGGAACATTCTTAATTTCTCTCTTCCTTAACCTTCACATCCAAATGGACCACTAAATTACATTGTTTCAATCTTTAAATCTTTTTCCATCCTCACTGCAATAGCGTTGGTTTGAGTTTTTACCATTTATCACTTAGGATACTGTTAGGCTTCCAAACTGTGTGCCTCTAGTTTCATGTACTTCTAAACTAGCCTTCAAAATGCCAACATTATGGGCTAACTAAGATACAAGGGTGTTATGCCCTGACTTAAAAATCTTCAGTGGCACCTGGGTGGCTCATTCGGTTAAGTGTCTGACTTCTGATTTTGGCTGAGGGCATGATCTCAAGGTCATGGGATCGAGCCCCGCAGGCCCCACAGTCAAATGGACCACTAAATTACATTGTTTCAATCTTTAAATCTCTCTTTTCCATCCTTACCGCAATAGCCTTGGTTTGAGTTTTTACCATTTATCGTTCAGGATACTATTAGGCTTCTTAACCATGTACCTCTAGTCTCTCCCTTTCTGTAGCCATTTGGAGCGCTCTTCTATTTGCTAAATGGGATGCTGCCTGATTCATGAATTGTTGAACAAAGCCCATTAAATCTTCAAATTTACTCACTTCTTTACAAAACTAGAAATGCAGCTCCAGAAGCATTTCAAAATTCATCTATTTCTTTTTACCAGTCCCCAAACCTCCCTTATTTATTTCAAAAGCCTTGTAACTTGTATTCTCTTTCCCTGTGCCTTTGAGATGTAAATGTTAAAGTACAACTTCAGGGAGGTAATTCTTATCAGGAAAAAAATGAAAAAAGAAAACATTATTTAAAACTTAGTTTAAGCCATCCAAGCACGTAGCCTTAACTTAATCCATCTACCAGAAAAACAACTTAGATACAAATTCTCTTTAACTAGTAAAACAAAAGCAATAAGGTCTCTGTTTACATCTGTCTATGTTTATGTGTGTCTATTATATGTGCGTAAAGGTGTGTGGTATTTTTCTCCCTCTGTATGGTATTACTGTAAATTAGTTTGTAAAAAAGCTCTATTTAATTGACTTAAAATAAGTGCTTAAATAAATTCAGTATTCATAAAAAGTTAAAAATACAATGGAAACTAACCCAAATGCTTTCTGAATTCACATCACCTAAGAAAATATTCAATATTAAAGTTAGCTTAAGTTTGTTTAACTAAAATAAGCTTTTCTTTCAAGTTATCAACATTGAATAAAATGAATACATACAAGTCTTATTCCACCTGGGTTTATC